CACGACTGGACCCAAAAATAAATAAATAAATAAATAAACGGGGCTGCAGTCTTGCGCTGCAGACCTCCCGACCCTATCCTTTGTCTTATGTCTTTCTTTTTCCTCATCCTCGCCCCCTAAATCAGGATTCCCTTTTGTTGCCGGCAGGCTCTGGCATGAAGACACTTGCTGGTTGCTTTATTAGGGGTTCTATCACCTCTGCTTGGTCCATTACCATCTACACTGCTGACTGGAGGCACATCTTTGTACAAACTTGGGGGAACAGGACCTTGCGTCTGTCCAGAAGAGGAGCCACTACTAGTCACAGTCAGGTCCTTAAATTCAAGTTCATGGAGACTTTCAATATCATTCTTGGTCACACTAGACATATTTCAAGTGCTCCACAGCCACATATGGCGAGAGTAGTCCTGTCATGGAGACCAGAGCTCTAGAATACTTCCATTAAAGCATTAAATAGGACAGCACTGCTTTAGGCTAGAAGGGCTCTTTCTAGATTATGGTTTTTCAAATGTTTTTCTTTCTTACCATAGCCACAGAAGCAACATAGTTGGCACTTTAAACCAGCTGATGTCTGTACACATCCATGTACGTATACATGTGGACAATATAATCCACTCAAAGCAATACTTACCCTTAAGAAAGTATAATACGCTTATTCTTTTTCATCTTTTTTTCTTTTTTGGGGTCGGGTCGTGGGGCCTGAACTCTGGGCCTGGGCGCTGTCCCTCAGCTCTTCAGCTCAAGGCTAGCACTCTACCACTTGAGCTACAGCACCACTTCCGGCTTTTTTCTTTTTGCTTATGTGGTGCTGAGGAATCGAACCCAGGGCCTCTTGCATGCTAGGCAAGCGCTCTACCACTGAGCCACCTTCCCAGCCCCGTCCTTTCTTGCTTCTTTTACTGGGTTTGAACCCAGGACCTTTTTCAACACTAGGCATGTACTGTATTACTGAGCTACATCCTTAAATAGGCCTGAGAGCACTAGGACACAACACTCAAGACACAAATCCTTTCATGGCTAGCTTTTTGGGAACCCAACCTGAAACATTCCTTCCCAGTTTAAAACTCATCCATGGATCCCTCCTACCTCCAAAATGAGGCCCATGCTCCAAGCCCTGTACCTGCTGGCTGCCACCAACCTCTCTGGCTTTACTCTCTGTCCAGCGGCCAGCAAAGGGGACAGATGGACGTCTGGCCTCCTTCCCTGACAAAGTCAATAGAGTGGTCCCAGTTAGGATTTTATCTGGAGTTGTACTTCTTTTTCTTTTTCGCCAATCCTGGGGCTTGAACTCAGGGCCTGGGCTGCTATCCCTGAGCTTTGGTGCTCAAGGCTTAAACTCTACCACTTGAGCCACAGTGCCATTTCCAGCTTTTTCGGAGTAGTTTATTGGAGAGTAAGAGTCTCATGATTTTTCTGCCCAGGCTAGCCTCAAGCCTCAATCCTCAGATCTCAGCCTTCTGAGTAGCTAGGATTATAGGCATGAGCCACCAGTGCCCAGCGAGTTATACTTCTCACAAGAAGCTCAACCTCTAACCCTAAGTCCATCTACCATCTATGTACTTCCTTTTGCTCAACTCCTCCAGCATGCCCCCCCCACCCCGTCCTTTCCCCTGTAGTGGGACACTTGAGTCTGCTGGGGTAGGCCAGTATACAACCTTGTGTTTCTTCTGTTGGCAGCAGCAGAAACAGCTAGCAGGTGTTATTTTTAATCTTACGCAGCCTCAGGAATCAGGTGGCCCAGGAGGTTGCCAGTCTGGTGACCTTCACCTCTAAAATCTGTCACTTCCAGGAAGAACCAGAACTATGACCAGAAGCTAGCTTTCCTTGCTTCTCCAGGAATGTCTGGGACCCAGAAACGTTTGTGAAAATGATGAGCGAAAATGCCAAAGTCAATCCTACTGCCAAACCAAACAGGGAATCAACACTGGGCCAATGCTGGGCTCTAAGGGCAGTTAGAGACTTAAGACAGGACCCAGCAAACCTACAGAGGCAGAAACAAAAGTTCACCTGCCTTCCCCACACCAGGGCCCAAAAGGGCATTCAAAATGAGAACTTTAATAACAAACAGCAGGTCAGAGTAGGGCTTCCCCAGGAGCGAGAATGACAGAGCTGGCATTAGAGGCCTCCAGGGTCTCCGCTTCTTCCTCCCCTACCTCCAGGGAAAGGAAGCGGCGGGCCCCACTGAGGAGGAGTGAGTGATGCCTTCTCCATGTGAGTCAGTCTGTTTGACTGATACAACACTATGTGGGGCAGAGCAACCCCTGCTTGACCACGAAGGTCCTGGCAGGGAGTAAGGATCCAGCCCAGGCAGGCAGGCCACAGGCCATGGGGTTAGATTCGGAAGCTCTCCTCCCGGCCATCGATGTGGCGAAGCCGCAGGTAGACATCTGTGCCGATGCCCTGCAGGGACTGAAGCTGCAGGGACCCGCCAAGGTACTCTGCGTAGGCCCTCGATGTGGGCAACCCGAAGCCAAAGCTAGGGGCAGAGGGAAAGGACAGAGCCCTTTAGAGGCCTGAGCCTCCTGGCCACACCCACCATCCTGGCTATGTGGGGCCTCACCCGTGCATGGGTCCTGACTGGCCGCCACTGTGCATGTCCAGGTGGCCAAAGAGGGGGCTGATCCGGGGATCCTGGGTGCTGGCCTCAGCTGTGGTGAAGTGGTAGTCCATGACCCGATCCAGGTCTTTGTGAGCAATTCCGCCACCTCGGTCTGAAATCCTGGCAGGATGCCAATAACATGGGCTTGGCTAAGGTCTGATGGGGTCCCACTGCCCCAAGCATGCAATGCTCAATCTCATTTCCTATTCCGTCCACCCAGAGGTAGAATGTGGTCTACCCAGAGCCTTGGTCCTACCTTTCCCCATTCTCACCTCCATCTGGGCCACTTCACTGGATCTGACATTTATTCTCAGCCCAGCATCCAAGACAACTGCCTAACTCCAGACCCCTCAGTTCTACAACTGAGGCAGGGCCCCAGATCCATCAATATGTAGCTCATGGGAACCTCAAGACAAGATTGGACAAAGTCCAAGTCCCAGAGTAGGGCAGGTTCTAGTTCGAAGTCCTATAGCAAATCAGAAACTGCCTGAGCCGCATTGACCCCAGCCCCACTCCACTCAGGGCAGACCTGATGACCAGATCAATATCATTGTTGGCGATGGTGATGACCACATCGGGGACATTGTATGGGGTGTCCAGGTGACTCTCCATCGTGGCTCTATGAAGTGAGGAAAGACCAGTAGGTAGTAGTACCACAGTTCTGTCTGCCCCCACCCATTGTATCCAGCCTACCTACCTCATGGCATTCTTGAGTAGCTCAGGCAAGATATAGTCCAGAGGCATAGGGATGAAGGGGAAGCGGGCAGCGACGTGTCCATTGATGCGCACACGGGGGGCATTGCCATATTTGTGCTCACACAAGCGTCTGTGGGTAGAAGGAGGGTTCAGAAGCCTTCTCAGCTGAAGGTGATTCTATTCCCCTCAGGGACATTTGCCAATATGCACAGAAATTTCTGCTCATCACAACTGAGGTGCTAATGGCAACAGGTGAATAGAAGCCAAGAGAACTGCTAAGCAGCCCAACCTGCACAGGACAGCCCACTGCAAAGAATTACCTGGCTTAAGATGTCTTAGTGCTGAGTTGAGAGAGCCTAGTCTAGACCTTGTCCCAAACAAGGACAGCAGACTGAAGCCTTCCCTGCCCTAAAGCCACCACCACCTTTAGAACCTTCTAGCCTCACCTGGCAAAGTCCACCCACTTTTCAATAATCTTCTTTGGTGAGAGACGAGTACAGATGATGCCAACAAAGTCAGGCTGGCAAGAGAAAGAAGATCAGGACTACAGACACCTCCACTCCCACCCCCGCTGCTAAGTGCCCAGATCCCAGCCCAAGAGGGACTCTTGACTCAGTTTCCTCTCCCCTCCTCCTTCCCCCTTAGCTTTCACAAGGAGATCTCAAGTCTTAGTCAAAACCCTACCTTGTCCTCATGCAGTGCCAAGTGGTGAGTGGCCAGCATACGAATCCCAAGCCTTGAAGTCAGCGTCTTGTCCAAGAAGTATCTGACCAGCTTTTCGTCCTGGTAAGAATGGGGCCTCAGGAATTCGGTGCCCCATTCCAACCCTCCCCTGCTCTTGCTGGGTCCTTCCTTGCTCCTCTGTCCCTGACCTCTATGTGCTTCCGGCTCTCACGCAGGCCCTCAGCTAAGAGGGTCACCACATCCTTGTGGTCATCTAGCAGCTGTCGTACCAACTGACAATACTGGGCTTCGTCCGCCTGGTCTTTGATCTGCAGGTCACAGAGTTATGAGGACACGTAGTTCAGCCCTGACCCCTCAACCCCTCACTCTGCTTTGCCTAGCCTCACCGGAGGGAAGTCCGTCAGCTTCTGGAAGGCCCGGATGTACAGCTCATGCTGCAAGGAAGAAGTAGAGGATTGAAGCTATAGAATTACCTGATGGAAAACTAATAAATCTCAAAAAACACACGTCCCCCCCCCAAAAAAAAAAAAAGTAGAGGAATTCACTGGACTGCCATCTATGCCTATCTGTAGAGATCACATACAACCCATTGCACATTAATCAAACACCCAATGTGATCATTCCAGCCTCCATGAAAAGTGTAGCCTTGGCTTCTGAGGCGTTGAGGCCTAGCCCAGCATTTCCCTTGCAACAGGCAAGTCTCTGCCAGTCTGAGCCTGGTCTTCCCATGTGCCGTTGGGCAGAATGCACTCTGGCCTAAGGTCCTCTCCACCTTACCACGTGCAGTATAGTGGGGTTGCAGCCAATGATGAAAGGAAGGCTACGGAAACCCTTGATCCGGTGAGCAATCCTCACTGGCAGCTCTTGCTGCAGGTAGCGGCCACTTTTCTGCAAGAAAAAGAGGGACAAGCAGGGGCAAGGCCTAAGTGGCTGATTGGAGCTCCAGGAGCCAAGGGAGAATAGGGGACAAGAAGCTTACCAGAAGGTGGCTGCCATCCTGAGATCGGCCAGAATAGAGCATCATGGTGGGAGTGAGGCGGACTGAGGGCTGCAGAGCAAGTTGGGACTTTGAGCACTGCCCCTAAACTGGCTCTGGCCCTTTCCCTGGACACTCACTCCAGGTCCTGACCCACCCCCCCCCTCCCTCCACTCCCAGCCACTCACCTTTTCTGCTGCCACATCGATGGCTGATTGGTTGTAAAAGGAGGTGACGGTCTTGGAGCGTTCCCGTGCCATCTCTACGTGGTGTGTATCGGTGGCTGATGTGGACCGGGCTCGGAGTGAGAGTGTGGACCCCAAGAGGGGCCGGAGTGGAAGCCCGCCCCGCGGGCAGCTCCCCAGCACGGACGCCAGCATGATCCGTTCTGCTCCTTGAGCGAACTAGACTGAGGACCCAACAGACGGAGGCGACCCCAAGATGGGGCAAAAAGAGTGTCTGGGCAAGGGCTCTTCCCTGCTTTCAAGAGCGAGGTTCCATCGAGGGTGCTGATAAGCTCAGTCCCTGGAAAGCAGCTCCCATCTGTCGGGGCGGCGGAAAGCGGGATTGTTTAAGGGCACCTCTCCACGTGGGCATCAAACACCCTCCCTCCCAGGGCAGCCTGTGGCGTCTCTAACCTCCTCAAACACCCAGGCCGAGCCTGGGCGATGTTATTTTATGCTGTCCTAGTCTCTACCCGGTGGTCTTGGTGGGGAAGGGATGGGGGGAATCCTCAGATCCAGACAGCCTGAACGCCTCACTTTGGCTCCCTCAGGTCCTGGGCACCCAGGGGGCGAAGCTGACCACCCCCCTTCTCAGTGCCCCCCAGACCCGAGCCCGGGGAGCCCGGTTGGCGTTACGCGCGACGCTGCGCTGTGCCCCGGAGCACGGGGGTCCACCGAGGCTACGGCCCGGGGATCCCCGTCTGACCGACCTCTCCCTCCAGCCCCCCCATCCGCGGAGTCACTTGGTCCGGCCCGGACTCCCCCCATATGGTAGATGCCAACCCCCCGCCCATGCGCACTCCTGCGCAATGGGTGAGGCTGAGACGACGTGCGCGGTGGGGCCTCCACCAGCCAGTCCCTTGGATGAGGGTTTCTCCACTTACCGCGCGGACGCGCCAGGGCCCGGGTCCGAGCGGAGCCGCCCAGTCGGCTGGCCGGGCTAGCAAGCCGCCTGCGCCCTCTCCTGCGGTGACGTCACGCCGACTGTGCACGCCCGGTGCCTCCTGGGAGTTGTAGTTTGGCGCGGAGGACTCGCCGCCAGGGCTCTAACGGGTCTTGGTTGTGTCCCTGCTCCCAACCTTCCAGATAAATGCAGCTCCCGCCACCGGCTCCCTAAGTTACCTGGGACCTGTCTGGAACTCTGCTTTCCACTCTATAAAATGGGAACATGGGGTGGGGGGACGGGGGAGAAACAATGCTAGGGAACAAGATCTTTAAACATTCTGCACATAATTTAAATGACTCTGCCTGCTTCGGACCCCACCTAGGCCCCACCACACACCAGAGGCAATTAACTACTCGGTAATTAATTTGGCATTTGTAAAACAAGGATGTGTTAACCTTGGGGTTTGTAGATTAGATGAATGTCCCTATGGATCATATGTAGACCCGTACAGGGTGCGTATGTAAAATCTGTACTCATTATGCACGTGCTAGATGATGTTTTTGCCCGCAGTGGATGTACATCCCTGATTGGTGCTTTCAGTGTCAAGGAGGAAGACTGGGTCAAACAATCTTAGCCAGGCACTGGTGACTCACACCTATAATCCTAACTACTCAGGAGATAAATCTGAGAATCTGAGCTTTGAAGCCATCTGGGGCAGACAAATCCTGAACACTCTTATCTCCAATGAGCAAGAAGCTAGATGTGGAGGTGTGGCTCAAGTGGCAGAGTACCAACCTTGAGAGAAGAGTTTAAGACCCAGAGTTCAAGCCCTACTACAAGCACAGACTAAACAGGCATTCCCCCCACCCCCACCCCTGCCCCCAGCCCTAAAGAGGAAGGTGCTTTTTGTGTAATCACCTGGGTTGAGGGTGGCTGTGGGAACACCAGGTAAGGACTTGGATACAGGAGTAGCATGAGGGTTAGAGCTTGGGCCTGGTGAGGAGATCTGGGAAGAAGAGGGGTGAATAGGGTAATGAGCAGCTCAGGAATGGTAAAGAAGTCTGTATTTACCCTAGGGGATGTCAGAACCACTGAAGAGTATTCATTGTTAAGTTCTGCTTCTCAGACCCTCTTCTGGTAGTTCTTGCTAGGGTGGGGCTTGGTGAGACTGGAGACAGTGTATGGAGAAGACACCCCTAGGCAGCCAGTGATGGGAGGCTTTTCTGTGTGTTTGTACTGATTGGATTTCCATATTTCCTAGCTATCCAAAAAGTTCCAAGTGTTAAATGAAGCAAGAGATACCCCTGGGGGTTGTCTTTAAGCTTGGAGCTGGGAACTGGCCCACCATGATTAACCTGCCTGGAGCACTGGATTTCCTTCTCCCTCCCTACCCCCAACTTCTTTTTCCAGCTCCCTGGCCAATGTCCCCCGGAGTGAAGCCAAGGAGGCCTCCCACCTCTGGAGGCAGGCACAGCTCTAGCACATGGAAGAAAAGGCAAGGGAGGGGTGATCTCCAAGGGGAGGACAGCCTGCACCAAAAGCCAAAGGTCCAGACTGCGTGTTGGGCGTCTGAACGCAGCGCTCACGTGGTCACGGCGTGGACAGCAGCCGTGGGAGGTGCGGACTGTGGCTGCCCGGCGCGGGAGGGATCGTCTGGTTAACTCAGCTTCACCCCGTTTGACCCTGCGCTCTGGAGCCGAGCTCGGTCTGATCTCGCTGCTGCCCCCGGCGGCGGAGGTGAGATATGCGAACTTCATATACTCTTATCTCTATTTTACAGATGCAAGAACTGAGATCCAGAAAGATCAAGACTCATTCCCTCTTTTCCTCAGGCCCCAACTTTATGTTTATTCTGGCTCAGGCCACACCAGGTGCCCTTATGTTTGTTTACAAATGTATCTGTACATTCCAGTTCTGATACAAGTCTCACTAGGCTAAGATCAAGATGTAAATAATTCTTTCTTAGAGACTGTAAGGAGTAGGACAATCTACTTGTCCTTTCCTGCCCTTAGAAGCCACAGATATTCATAAATGCATGACTGTATTTTTTGTTGTTGTTTGCTTTGTTTTGTGGTGCTGGGCAAACTTGAGGCCTTGTAGAAGCCTCACCACTGAGCTGCATCTCAGCTCTGTGTTTCTTCTACAATCACTGTGCTGGTATTGGGACTTGAACTCAGGAGCCTGGGCGATGTCCCTTAGCTTTTGCACTCAAGGCTAGTAGTGTTCTACCATTTAAGCTACAGTTCTACTTCCAGCTTTTTGGTGATTAATTGGAGATACGAGTCTCACAGGTTTTCCTGCCCTTACTGGCTTCCAACAACATCCTCATATCTCAGCCTCCTCCTGAATAAATAGTATTATAGGCATGAGCCACTGGCACCTGTCTTTACATTTACTTTTGGCTCTTTGTTTTGTTTTTTTGTTGGTGGGTCATGGGGCTTTAACTTGGGCCTGAGAGCTGACCCTGAGCTCTTACACTCAAGGCTAGTGCTCTACCACTTGAGCTACAGCACCACTTCCGATTTTCTGGTTTTCTGGTAGTTAATTGGAGATAAGAGTTCCAGGGACTTTCCTGCCAAGGCTGGCTTTGAGCTATGATCCTTAGATCTCAGCCTCCTGAGTAGCTAGGTATGAGACTCCAGCGCCTAGGTACTTTGGTTCTTTTTTATATATATATATATCTCCTCTTAGCTTTAAAGACACTAAGGATTACATTGGACCCACCCAATAGTTAAGGGAATATCCCTGTTTTACAAACAGTGGCAACTTCAATTCTATCTGTAACCTTAATTCCTTCCTTTTTCCCATATAAACTAATACAGCCACAGGTTCCAGAGATTTGGCCATGGATATCTTGGGGTATCATTATTCTGTCTACCTTTCTCTCTAGAATAAGCAGGACTTGGAAGGAACATCCAGAGAGCAAAGAGGACTAGCAAGGAAACAAATAAATACCATTTCAAGTAGGGCATAGATGACTCATGTCTGTAATTCTAGCTTCTGAGGAGGTTGAGATGTGAGGATTGTGGTTTGAAGCCAGTCCAAGCATGGAAGTTGTCCATAAAAATCTTTATCTTGGGGGCTGGGAAGGTGGCTCAGTCATAGAGTGCTTGCCTTGTATGCACGAGGTCCTGGGTTCGATTCCTCAGCACTACATAAGCAAAAAGAAAAAAATCCGGAAGTGGCACTGTGGCTCAAGTGGTAGAGCGCTAGCCTTGAGCTGAAGAGCTGAGGGACAGTGCCCAGGCCCAGAGTTCAGGCCCCATGAGCGGACCCAAAAAAAAATCATCTTGGAAGTGGCGCTGTGGCTCAAGTGGTAGAGCATTTGCCTTGAGCTGAAGAGCTGAGGGACGGTGCCCAGGCCCAGAGTTCAAGCCCCACAACAACAACAACAAAAAGTTCTTAGGGGCTGGGAATGTGGCCTAGTGGTAGAGTGCTTGCCTAGCATACATGCCCAGCTTGCCTAACATACACATAAACAGAAAAAGCTGGAAGTGGCTCTGTAGCTCAAGTGGTAGAGTGCTAGCCTTGAGTAACTGAAGCTCAGGGACAGTACCCAGGCCCTGAGTTCAAGCCCTAGGACTGGCAAAAAAAAAAAAAAACAAAAAAAATTTATCTCACTGGGTACCGGTGGCTCACACCTGTAATCCTAACTACTCAGGAGGCTGAGATCTGAGGATCGCAGTTCAAAGCCAGCCTGGGCAAGAAAGTCTGTGAGACTCTTACCTCCAATAAGCTGCCAGAAAACCATAAGTGGCACTGTGGCTCAAGTGGTAGAGCCCTCTCCTTGAGCTGAAGCACTCAAGGACAGCACCCAGGCTCGGGGTTCAAGCCCTACAACTACCACCAACAACAAAAATGTCCTTATCTCCAATTAACCAGCAAAAAGGCAAAAGTGGAGCTATGGCTCAAGTGGTAGAGCACCAGGCTTGAATAAAACAAGCTCAGGGTCAAGGCCCTGAGTTCAAGTACAGGACCAGCACACACACACACAAAACATCCATTTTGATGAAATATTTAGATGTTAAATAAGTCTTGAGAAAAAAAAACCATTGAACTTTGTGTCTAGCCACTAGTTGTCAGGGTTATTATTTGAAGCAGAAGCTAGCTTATAATGTGTGGGTAGCAAAAAAGAAGTAGAGTCCAGGAATGCAAAATAGTTTCAAAACTTTGACTGTGATGAGATGATGATACCAGGGGAAAGGAAGAGGGCTCTGATGAAGAAACTCCTGACCAAGGGAGATTTGGTTGTTTCTGAGTCAGGAAACAGAATCGAGTTTCCATGCAGATGAGAAGGAAGCTCAGTTGAAGATTTAGAAGAGACTCACCAGTAGATGGGGGAGTCTGGAAAGGCTGTGGTTCATCCAAGCCAGGTTCTTCAGGGTTACAAGATGTCAGAAGATGCCCCAATAGCAGAGTTTATTGCAAAAAGATGGACCAGCCAGAGAAGAGGGCAAGGCAGGAGGAAAGGGCTGAGGAGGATAGAAAACTACAACCTGACAGTGAAATGATTTCAAGAGATGCTTGACTCTTGGACCACAGACTTGGCAAGATTCCCTACACCACTGGTTTCTGAGTCCTGGTATATGCCAATGCTTAGAGCTACCGGGGAGCCTGAGATATGAGGATCATGGTTCAAAGCCAGCCCAGGCAGGGATGTCTGTGAGACTCCTATCTCCAACAAACTACTCAAAAAAAGCTGGAAGTAGTGCTGTGGCTCAAGTGGTAGAGCACTAGCCTTGAGCTGAAAAGCTCAGGGACAGTGCCCAGGTCCTGAGTTCAAGCCCCATAAGCGACAGAAAAGAAAAAAAGGAAACATTCAGCATATATTTTTTCTTTTGTACAAGGGTATCATATTGTACTAAATATGTAAGGTCTTATCTCCTTGGGTTTTGATTTCACAAACTAATTTTCTGTAAATAATGAAGATGCTTTGCCTAGCAAGCGACTGAAAACCCCAGTACTGCCAAAACACAAAAAAGCAAACTCTAGAGACTTTTTTTTTTGATGCCTTGGAGCTCTTTGACTACAATTCCCATAAATCCTAGCATTCCCACCCTGACACCCCACCCACCCCCGCCCCGTCTACTACTACCACGAATCCAGTTTACCAGCCCAACGTTCCCCGCTGGTTTCCTGTACCGCCCCGCCTCGTCCGCAGAGCGCTAAGAATAACCAATCGGATCGGGAGGGTCGAGACAGGAAGACCAATCAACGGGCCTGAGAGGCGGGAGCGGGCGTGGCTTTGGCGTGGCTCTTCTCCGCTCCGCCCCTACACCGTGGCGATCTCTCTCTCCTCCCCGCCGCGCGTCGGGCGGGAACCGCGGACATGGGCCCCACCTGGAGGAGCCCCGGGCGGGTGCGTCTGGCGCTGTGCCTGGCCGGTTTCCTGCTTTCCGTGTACTCTCTGCACGTGAAGGCGGCGCGCGCCCGCGATCGGGACTACCGCGCGCTCTGCGACGTGGGCACCGCCATCAGCTGTTCCCGCGTCTTCTCCTCCAGGTGCGCGCGGAAATGGAAAAATCCGGCCTCCCCGATGTGCTGACTGATTTTGGAATGTGGGATCAGGGTATCTGGGGAACCGACACTTTGAGGCTGAGGGGTGTTACCTGGCGTAACGGGTGCACACCTGGTCTGAGGCACCCCGAGATACTAGTTTTTGAAGTGAGGGTGCAGGGCTTGGGGGTGGGGGGGCTGAGGGAGTGGTCGGGGCTGGGTTAAGGGGGGGGATCGCTCGTGCATGCGAGTGCCCGGGAATAACGGTGACTGGGAGAGGGCACTGATGGCTTTTTGAGGCGCTCGCGGGCGAGGGTGAGCACACTGAGGTTTTTTGAGCCCTGGGACCTGGGGCTTGTTCTGACTCGGAGAAACCAGGATTAGTAGTTTAGTGGGGCGACAGAACAGGGAGGAAAGGGGTGGGTGGCCACGGAGCTGGACATCTGTGTGTCCAAGGCAAAAAAAAAAAAAAAAAGGTAGCCTAAGATTTCTTAATTTTGTTAACTAAGTGCCCATTTAAAGAATTACCGAAGGTATCCTTGGAGAAGCGGAGCCTATGTTAGGGCCATGGCTAAGCCTGGCTTGGGGATAAAGGAGAATTGGGCAATGACTCATAGATTCCTGACCTGGCCAAAGGTCTGGAAGGTCAGGAGATCATCGGCCCTTGGGAGGGAAATGGGAACAGGACCTTCTACTAGATTGACACCTGCTTACCTGAATGTCTCCATCACCACCACCAGGTGGGGCCGTGGCTTCGGACTGGTGGAACAGGTGTTGGGAGCAGATAGCATCCTCAATCAATCCAACAGCGTATATGGTTGCATTTTCTACACGCTACAGCTGTTGTTAGGTGAGTGGCTCCACCCCTTCCCTGCAGGCTCCGCCCACTCAAACCTGCTTCTCCCCCCTAGGCCAGTGCAGCCCCACCCAAACTACGCGTGTCTGGGGCTTGGTGACCCTGACAGTTGACAGTCGCTTGCTAATCACTGGGCATCTTTGGGCATGAAGACCAGCAGGAAGGGAACTAAAGGTGTCTCTGACAGAGGTGAAAGATCCCATAAAGACTTTATAGTGGGGCTGGGAATGCGGCTTAGTGGTAGAGTGCTTCCCTGGCATGCATGAAGCCCTGGGTTCTATTCCTCAGTACCACATAAACAGAAAAAGCCAGAAGCCAGCACGTGGCTTAAGTGGTAGAGTGCCTAGCATTGAGTAAAAGGGGGACAGTGCCCCCAAACCCTGAGTTTAAGCCCCAGGTCTGGGGAAAAATAAAACAAAACTAAAAAAGACTTCCTAGGATCCCAGTTTGTTTTTAAAGATTCAAATTATGATTAAAAACAATATTTTACTGGACACTGGTAGCTCACACCTGTAATCCTAGCTACCCAGGAGGCTGAGATCTGAGGACTGAGATTCAAAGCCAGCCCAGACAGCAAAGTCCATTAGACTCTTATCTCCAATTAACCACCAGAAAACCAGAAGTGACTCTGCTCAAGTGGTAGAGCTCTAGCCTTGAGCTGAAGAGCTGAGGGACAGCACCCAGGCCTAGACTTGAACTCAGGGCCTGGGTGCTGTCTCTTAGCTTTTTGCTCAAGGCTGGCAGGCTACCATTTGAATTACAGCTCTACTTCTGGCTTTTTGGTGGCTAGTAGGCGATAAAGTCTCTCATGGGCTTTCCTGCCCAGGCAGGCTTTGAAACTTGAGCCTCTGATCTCACTCAGCTTACTGAGTAGCCAGGATTACAGGTGTAAACCACCAGTGTCTAGCTTCTCAGATTAATTGAAGGCAATCTTAATACATCTTCCATTCATGTAAATCTCAGCAGGAAAAAAAAATCACTATTTGGGTCCCACAAGTTATTGTTTTTTTTTGTTGGTTGTGGGGCTTGAACTCTGGGCCTGGGCGCTGTCCCTCAGCTCTTCAGCTCAAGGCGAGCGCTCTACCACTTGAGCTACAGCGCCA